CAAAGCATACTTTTGCCCTTTTTCTGTGAAGGGGACGGTGAATTTCAGTTGGCACTTGCTTTTGTTGTTTCCATACCAGCCTCCTGATTTTGTTTTCATTGCTGCCACTACGCACTGATGACTCTTACAGAAAACCGCATAATAGTGTAGTTTTCCAGGAAAGGAAGGTCTTATCGGAAACCCTCACAGAATTCTATGCGATGCCAAAAACCTGTTTGGTGAACTAAGAGTATAACCTCGTAAGTATTCTGAGCCAAGTCTTGCGGAAAGGGTTTTTTTCATTTCTTCAAGTAAAAAAAACACAAGCACTAAAAACTGAGAACTATGTCCCACAGTCAGGTTTCTGCTGCATGAGGGGGACGAAGGGGCGTTCTGGATTGGCGTCACGTGCTCCCTCCTTCTAAATGTTACAGGTACTTAGGCCATGTCGGAAAGCTAAACAACCCTGCTAAACTACGTGACTCCTCTCGCAATTATTTCAAACATCCGGCGATCTTATGAATTTGCCGACTTTTCTCTTGAACACTAGGGGTACGTTTCACAAGCCCAGCAGAAGTGACTCAGGCCGAAAACTAGAATCGTCCCCAAGTTATACAAAGGAATAGGGACTGTTCGTCTGAGAGGGGCCTAGTAGTTCAGTAGACAGAGCGCGCAGCGTTATTTCGAGATGTTCGTGGACCAATACCGTGTCAAAGTGCATGTTTCCTGACACGTCGTCATAAGTCTATTGGTCCCTCATCCACTCCTGCGTACGTCCTCTAGGCAGTTAAAGTGTACTCTGTGAACTTAACGCTAGACGGAGGCAGATGAATAGCCTACGAGAATTTTAATGCTGGGACAACTGTTTGACAGCAAAGGTACAGGACGCCTTGAGGGCTGTGCGGTCGTCAGACCCTAGAAACCACTGTAACGCAGATCAATGAACGATGTTCGTATGTGAACACGCCATCGGGTCGAATAACGACAGTCGAAAATACGAAACCTCGTGCGTACCTGAATGAGACGTCCATCGATTACAGATGGTTCGTTCCAGATATGAAGATAATTATGTCATCCAATCGGAACGTTATAAATGCCTTAATGGCGAAGACTGAAGCATGTGAATGGATATCGACGGACGATTATGACGAATTGATGGCTGTTGCGCGCGGCGTCCGAGAACTAATTATTAGGCAATGATGTGCGCAACCTTCCTTACAGGTGGAAACTCGAGTTGCGAAAGTTCGTCACGATGAGAAAAGCACGAAAGCAAATACCCATCCCCAGACAAGCTACCTGACTGCGATAGCCAACAGCCAGGAGACCTATGTCGTTGCCGTCAGTTTTAATTACAGGAATTCCTGTGGCCAACGCGAATCTGTCAATCAACGAAAATGACTCAGCATTAAATAAGTCATATGCAACCCTGCAAAAATCCATTTTTCCCCGCCTTTAAGGTAGAAAACAATAATGTGAGAATTAATCATCTGAAACTGCACTTAAAATAACTCTCCATAACCTGTTGGCGTTACTGGGAACGATCAACGATTTTACTGTATTACAGGCCGGTCCGAAATGTTTGCTCTTACATACGAATTGTCAACTGAAGATACTAAAGTGATAGGCTAATAAAGTTCATGTGAATCGAATGTTAGTTCGTAACGACGAGGAGAGGTAAATGTAAGAAAATAATACAACGAACAGGACACTCAAATACTCTGACTCCGACAATCCGCAACCGATTTATGCAGGCTCAGAAAGGACATTATTTACAATATTCTCGGGAGGTTATCATCGCGGATGGTTCTGGTGGATAGTAAATTTAGTCGAAAGAAGGCAAGCATACTAAATAGCTGTGTACACGTATGGACAACATTGCCATGGCACACTGGTCTTATCGA